AGACATAAAGTTCCCTTTCTCTTGTTCTCTCTCTTGCTCCCTCTTGCTCTGTAACCCGCACTCCCCAGTGCATTCCGTGTTCTCTTCACGGCCAGGTGGCCTTAGAAACCAGATGGCCTGGCCATGCAGACTTCACATGCAGGATGCTGGACTGGACTGGACTTTAATGTGGAGCAGAAACTATGGGCAGGGCCTTACTCCTGGCCCTGCTGAAGATAAGATTGGACGTCTCCCATGGCGGGATGGGCAGAGATGGGACCTGGGAGGGGAAACTCCTTAATTTTACATCAATAAAACTTTCCACAAAACCCCATCCTCTCGTGGGAGCCTCAGGAAATTCTTTTCCTTGAAGAGCCCCAAGAACTCCACTTCCACCAATAACAGTAATAAATCTGAAATTAGAATCGATAGAACTCAGCATTTGTATAAAAGGAACTGAGAAGTTCTAGGTTTTTAGGAAATGCCTCTGCCCACATTGGAGGAAGAATAAGTTGGGAAAAAAACAAATGATAAACCCAGTGTTAGACTAGTATGAGGGTCTAAGACCATCATACTAAGTCACAGTGATTTCTCTGGTGGCTACAAAACCTTTGACTTAGAAGTCCTACAATCCTGATCGTTGGCCTTCTTCACCAGGCGTTCTCACCATCCCACTAGCCACCCCTGTCACCATGTGGTAGCCATGATTTAGCCATGCATGGAAAGTCCTCACTGAGTCTGTAAGCTTAACAGTCTTTTTCATGCTTTCTTAAAACCAGGGAGTCCTGATTTGGGTGAAGTCTGACACATCGATTGGTTGCCTTCTGCTTGCACTCTGCAATCCAGGTACGTGCCCTTGACCAGGAATCAACCTGCAACCCTTCGGTGCACATGCCAACATTCTAACCACTGAGAGCACCGGCCAGGGCTAGGCTGATTGTTTTTAAAGGGCTCCAAGACTCTTAAAATCAAAGTAAAATTCCCCTGTGCAATTACTGGCCAAACAGGCTCACCTCCTGGTTGGGGTTGGGGTTGGGGAAAAGGGTCGAGAGCCAGAAGAGTCGAGCAGAAAAAGAGGGAGAGCTGAACTCCCTGTTTAACACAATACTCCGTACTCAGAAGTCTCCATTTTCCCGCCATTCTGGATAAACAAAACTGCTACATAACACCAGCAAATAACCAGAAACAGAGGGTCTCTGACATGACCGAGCATAAGAGCTGGGGAAGGCGGTATGTCAATACCCACTGCATCTGTCCCACTACCTCCTCCATGTCTGGTGAGCCACATACACTGAAGACAGATCTCAGGGAGGCCGATGGGAACCCAGGGATACACCCTGGGAGGACAGGGGGTGGGGCTGTTTAGGATTATCTTGACAACAGGCGGCTTCCATTTCCCATGTCCTTTTCCTGTCAACGTGGAAATTAGAGAGAGCACTTTAAAGAATCCTTAGTTACATGTCTTCTGGACACAACACTGCAGCTAATAATAATCTAACATAACTGGCCCATTCAAGCACGTTAGAACAAAATAAAACGCAGTTGCATAGAACATCAGAAATCATCTGGCCTGAGAGGCTCCTGTGAGAAAAAGCAGGCCCCTGAGGTTGAGAGTCACCCACACCACCCAGCATGTCAGGGCTGGTCTGGAACCCAGGCTGCCTGTGGCCAGCACTGGGCTAATCTGGTCCAAGTTACAAATCAACTGATTTATTGCTACTGAGCAATGCAAATATACAAGTGACTACAGTATTGGCAATAAGTACTAGGAAAACGAGAAATTAGAAAGCTTAAAGCAAAACAGATATGAGGAGAAAGTCCCTGCTGAGAGAAATATAAACAGTGGTATAGTTTAAAGAAATTAACCCTATGGTCAGGATACTTCCTTAGAACAAGAGTAAATTATTTAAAAGTCACAGTTTTGTGAAAGGTTTGGACTCATGCCTGGTATGACTTAACTAAAGTTATATTCTGGGTCAGTAAATTATTTGCTTGCATGTAAAATGTTGATGGAAAACCAGAAAACAAGCTCTCATAAACGAAACAACAAACATTGAGAAAATCTTAGAAAACATAATGTAGTTGACTTTGACTTTTAAAGAAAAAATATTGGCATATTTCTAATGTGCTCTTAGGAAAAGAAGTTTAGAAGATAAAAGTCAAATGCAGAAACTGAAGTTTGGCAGCCAAAAGAATGTAATTAATACATTGGAAGCATTTCATATTTCTAAAGCTTATTCCTATCAATTTAGTCTCTTAAAACTAAAGCAAACAAAAAAGGTCTTCCATCAAATCAAATGCAGCCCACATCATCGTTTCTATTTCCAATTTAGCTAAAACTCTAGGACTGCCAAACCAGCCCCAAAACAAACACTGGCCACTTAAACGGCTTCCTTTACACAAGTTAAGAGAGTTCTTTCCTGGCTGAGTCAGAAACTGCTTTTACTTCCACTTGCATCTATGTAATTTATAAGCTGACAAAACACAGTCCTTTAGGAACATACCAGGAAAATATTCATCATTTCTGCTAGGTCAAGTTCAGCATAAACCCTGTCTGCATTTTGTTTTCCTGATTTAAGATGATTTTCTTAATATTCATCCATACTGTGGGTCATGAAACACAGCCCACTACAGAGAAACTCAGTTCCTTAACAAACCAGTTTTTAACTCCCATGCGCGGAAGCCATAAAGATGTTCAAGCAATAGGAAAACCACACACCAATGACGAGAGGATGGTGTTTCGTGTGCTCTACATCCCAAGCAAACAGCTTGCCTGAGGGGGTCTATGCTGAGTTTAGAGCTAGGGACATGAAAGCCACTTTAGATATACTGGAAACTAAAAGAAGGCGCCTACTAAAATCTTGAGAAATGTGAATGGAAAACCACATATTGCTTTAGTTGCCACACCTTCTAGAAGGTGAAAGGCCACGCAGGCTCATCTACATTGCACCTACCTAAACAAAGTCATTCTCTGGGAGTATTATTTTCCCAATAGCCCAAGCCACTCTGGAATAGCTGTTCTGAATTTTATGTGTGAAACCTCCGTAAATATGCATTGCTAAGGTTCCAGATGTCTGACTCTGCTTGGGAAAAGCTATACAGCCATTCATGGTGCTTAGGCCAACTGTTAACAATTTATTTGATGGGCTAACACCACCAAGACTGGATGGTTTTTCTGTGGTCCAACAGCCTATATGTACTCTCTGAAGGTGCCTGAGGGTTTTCTTTCCTGTGAAGTGAAAACAGAACAGCCTCTCTTCACCATTCTGTACAAATCTTGTACAAAACAAGCAATAAACATGGCGTTTTCTTAAAGCTGCCGGAGCTTTAGTTGGGTATGTGGCTTTAAAAATGGGGGAATAATATGCTTTGATTGCATTGCTGCGTAAATTGCACTCCCAAATAATGAGAATTAGACATCCGCAGGGCAAACGCCTCAGTCACTGAGTCTGAGAGCTTTTGCTTTACTTACTTGTATTTTAAGAGCAGCCACTGAACTAACCAGAGTCCTACAAGGATCATGCCGTTAATTTCACAAATAGAAAAGGCCCACTGCACCCGGTTAAAATGGTCAAAAAACGTGTCCGGTAGTGGAGGCTGCACCTCCTTAGGAGGTACTCGTTCATGGACGACCGAGATCATCACTGTGGTGAGAACAAAACAGCAAAGTGCATAAAGAAAGGCCTGAAGAGTCTTGCCCCACTCCATGGGGTACTGGGAGCGCTCCAGTTCTGGCATGGGGATCTTTATCATCTCCTTCCTGTACCCATTTGGCATCCCGTTGGGTTTGACCTTGATGCTGAATCTGCCGTCAGGGGTGGGGATGTCTGTGCCAATGCTGAGGTGCCCGTTGGCATGGCCGTTCTTGTGTACTTCCATGTGGTGCTCCATTTTCAAGGTCTCTATCATGTCCAAGAGCCGCTGCCCGTTGTCGGAGGAGACTCGGCACAAGGGGGGTTTTGTGAAATCCTCTTGGGTCAGGTTGATCAAGTCCCGGCCCGTGAAATGTTCCAGAGGCTCACAGTATTCTGGCATAGCATTCTCCAGCAGCCAGTCTGTCACCTTTTTGGGTGACCAATAAACCACTTCCTTCATTGTACTGGCAGACAACAGGCAGTCCCCTGCTTGCTCTCGGCAGGTCAGCAGTCCGAGTTTTTCCGGAGCAGGATGCTGGCCCTCGAAGGCGTGCTCATCCTGTCAGGCCTCATGACAGGGACTTGGGTAGCAAGATGGTCAGGGCAGTTTTTAAACACCTCATGTAGCTGTCCAGGGTTCTTGAGTACCCGAGCACTTGTTCACCTCATTTTTCAACAAGATTCTTCCTTCTGTGGAGGCAAGAGAAAAGGTCATGATATTGGGACTTCCGAATCAACCCCCTCAAAATGCAAAACCTTGATAAGCATAAGGAAAATGGAAATCCAGTTACCGATACAGCCTGTAGTTTTCAAACGTGTATTAGTCTAAGGCAGTGGTTCTCAACCTTCTGGCCCTTTAAATACAGTTCCTCATGTTGTGACCCAACCATAAAATTATTTTCGTTGCTACTTCATAATTGTAATGTTGCTACTGTTATGAATTGTAATGTAAATATCTGATATGCAGGATGGTCTTAGGCAACCCCTGTGAAAGGGTCGTTCCACCGCCAAAGGGGTCGCGACCCACAGGTTGAGAACCGCTGGACTCTAAGGGACCACTGGTTCCCTGGTTGGTCTTCCCTGAAAGCATTAAAAGGGCCTAACGATGGATAAAGTCAAAGGGGAAATGTTTTACAGCCTCCTCAATGGGTCTTTTCTAAGAAATCGTTCATCGTGCTGTGGACACTGCTCAGTGCGGATCAGTGGTTCTCTGGGACAAGCTGAATGAATGTGGCAGGTGGGCTTAGCCTATCATTCTCCTGGTGAAGAAGTGTTTTAAAAGGCACATAACACACAGCAACTTAACGGATACGATAGAAATGTTCAGCTTCAAGACAGTTTGGGCCAACATTTATATTTTTTCACACAAAGAAAATCAATGGATCCCTGTTTCCACATGTGCTCGGATGCCCAAATCTATAGAAGAGCTACAGATGCAGCTGCTGGGATGAAACACAGGCGGGGTGAAGGGCCAGGGTCTTCCCCGCTCTTGCGACCTTTCTATTCCCAGTCCAGAGGGTGTTTCCTGGAATCCCAGTTGTAAAATCAATGATCTGATTCAACTCCCTCATTTATAAACTTAGAAACTAAATTCCAGGAAGGTCAAGAAACCTGCCCTTGATTAAATGGCAGCTTGCATCCAAGAGCTGTAAGTTTCGTTTCTGAGTCCTGTAGTTCAAAACACTATTTATTAAAATACTTATGTGGCGATAACCAATTCACATCTGCAGGGGAGAGTCAAAAGCAAGATTCAAAATTTTATAAATGTATGTAAGTATCAATGTGAATTTACATATAAATAATGTACCTCTCTTATTTAAACTCAGCAATGATTAATGAACATATTGCATAAAGCTGGGGAAAAATACATCACATATTAACTGAAATTATATTTGATGGCAGGCCTGGGGGCATTTTCTACTTTTCTCCCATCTATTTTTCTTTAATAAGCATGTACTACTTTTGTAACAATCATTTAAAATTGGAAAGCAAGTAAAAGGACTAAAGTTTTGCTACCCTGAAGCTGCCTTTTTGGGATATTGATTTTAAGTTGTTTATTAAGAAACAAGACTCAGAAAGAACCTTTGACCCTCCTCCCTTTCCTGCCCAAGAGATTCAGACAGAGAAGTGTGCTTCAGGAAGAAATCTTAGCATGTTCACTGTAGCCTAATTTGAATTAAGTGTGATAATTAGGAATGCTTCAGGCAGGGCCTGTTAGCTAGATATCCCCTGTGTCTCATTGTTTCTGAGCTGCTCAGCAAGAATTCGCCTGCCATGAGTGTTCCCTTCTCCCTCAACAACCTGTAAATTACCCACTGTTACTTCTGAAATATAATATCTCCCCCCACCCTCTTCTCCTTTGTCCAAAATGCCACATCTCCCCAATGTTGCCTCACTGTCTCTGGAGTTTTCATGCCTATGTGAATTCCCCATGGGCATGTGCTAAAAACTTGATTTTCTCCTGTTAATCTGTCTCTGTTGATTTGATTATCTGCCTAGCCGAGAAGAAGTTAAAAGCAAAGTATTAATATTTTTTAGTTCCCACACAAGAAACGTTAAAAATAAATACCTAGCCTTGTTATTCCTGTAGAATGGCCTTTGGCTGAAGACAGACCATGGTTTGACTCTCAGCCTCTCTCATGCATAGCCCATTAGGTGAGCTTCAGTTATCTATCTATCTATCTATCTATCTATTTATTTATTTGAGGGAGAAAGAAATATCGATGTTGGGGAGAAACATCAATCAGTTGCCTCCTACATTAAGGCTCTCCCGCTCCCCACCCCAAGAACTCCTATTCGCTCCCTATGGAGCACAAACAAGACCTGAACTCAGGTCTCCTGATTTCAAAGACCAAACTCATCGCTGCTGAACCCCCAAATCTGACTCTGGAATAGTGATGGACCGTATGTCCACTCCCGATTTCCCCGTCTGAGTAACAACCAGTCAAATGGCAGTAAAACTGAAAGACATTCCAGACCTTGCAAAGAGTTGGGCGTTCCCTCTCCTGAGCATCCACCCCAGTGCTGTGCGCCTTCCCTCTGACACTCCCTTGTGGTGTCTGTCTAGACTCCCCCAGGAGCCTATGAGTGACTGCGCAAGAGCTTCAGTCTGAAGCATCCCCGTCTCACATTCCCAGGGCTCAGAATGTGCTCGATCGATATCTGCGCAATAACTCAGGAAATAAATGTTCCTCGCATGGTTTAATGGAAAATAAAGCTACGGAAAATGTCACTGACATTGAAAGGGCTTTAAAACGATTTGGGTAGTCAGGGAGAACCAGGCGGGCAGTCTCCAGAGAGAAACAGGACACCCAGGAGAAGCTCCGACCACTTGGAAAGCACTACACAGGAGCTGCAGCCGCCACCAGTGCTGCCTGGAGAGACCAGGAGGCACACAGGCCACGTGGGCGCCCTGGCAGAGGTCCTGCAGGCAAGGGATCTCCCAGCATCAGACTCCAGGCTTCTCCCCAAATCCTCCTCAGCAGAATTAGGATAACAGCCAAGGAACCCTCAACATCTGCAAGCGGCTACAAGAACTCTCAAGAAAAATTCTCGACGGAACGTTCATGCCCAAGGACATGTACGTGGGCTTTCCCCCTTGTCCAATGCAGGAAGTCTGCCAGGAGGGGAAACCCCTTCAGAACCACAAAGATCAGACCAATGCCACGGTGTTATTTCACTTCTCTCTGACAGGGGAACAGTCAGATAATCTCCTCTTAAGAGATAACACTGTAATCTTTAAAAAAGAAAAAATATCAAGTGGTAAGAGACAATCTAGGCCATCAGACAGACACGCACGCACGCACGCACGCACGCACGCACATACTCTTCCTGGTATTGCAAGCCTCCATCCAAACGAAGGACACTGATCTTGCAAAGGCAAGTCCATAGCAGTTCCCAACAGCCAGAGGAACTCTTCAGTGACAGCAAGGAAAGTAAATGGCTCCCGATAATAACTAGGACAACAAAACTGCTCACTCATTAGGAGAGCGCCTAGGCGTCCCTCGTGTTGGAGTTCTCCATTTCCTCCCCTTCAGCAAGGCCAGGCTCTTCCCTTGGTCTCTAAGGTTCTGCTCTGCAGACCCTTTGCAGAACATTCCACTTCACCATCCTTCTCCCTGCTTGGCTTCCTGCATCCCTAACATCTGTGACACGTGATATAATTTAACCCTCAGGTGTGCGTGGTGTGGGAGAAAGAGCACCAGCTGTGTGAGTTACAGAGCCAGCAGCTGACACCCAACTCAGCTACTTCCCTTCCTGACAAGGTCCTTTAACCTCTCCACGCCTCAGTTTCCTCTGGAACAGTGGTTCTCAACCTTCCGGCCCTTTAAATACAGTTCCTCATGTTGTGACCCAACCATAAAATTATTTTTGTTGCTACCTCATAACTGTAATGTTGCTACTGTTATGAATCGTAACGTAAATATCTGATATGCAGGATGGTCTTAGGCGACCCCTGTGAAAGGGTCATTTGACCGCCAAAGGGGTCACGACCCACAGGTTGAGAACCACTGTTCTGGAAAGTAGTATTACCAACTACCTACGCATCTTCACGGAGGCTGCTACTGCTGTGACAAACCAATCATGTAAAAGGAATAAAAGATATAAGTTACTCCAAGAAACGTGTCTTGTTCTTTTCATAATGCCCTGCTTCCTTCCTAACGCCCAACTGGGTCATAGTGACATGTCATAAATATTTACTGAAGCTGCCACTTCCAAAGGGCATTTTCAATGCCCAATCATTCTGATACAAGAATAAAAACAGCCCTCCAAACTCCACGAGAAAACAACCCTATATTTTTCAAGCAACTTCGAAGCTTGAAAATAAAGATATGCGTGCTATTTTCCTGCAGCTGATGCTGAAATGGTACAAAAGGGGAAAAGCTCACTTTAGGGAAGTAAACCTTGAACAGCTACTCAGCACTTCAAAGGCCCCTGCAAAAAAGGTGTGGACTTAAAGACCCCAGAGCCCAGCTGTAGAAGGAGAAGTGAGACGGTGACTCGCCCCTGGACTCACACACTCAATTTAGAACATACTGTGGCAAAGTGCCTTCACATCTAGACCCAAAAGACTGTATCTTTGGCTGGGCTCAGAAAACAGCTACTACCACCATCATTCAGAAAAGCCACTCAGAATCCATAGCCAGGAGAATGTTAAGAAAGAGCACAGATCTTGCCCTGGCCCCTTTGACTCCATGGTTGGAGCATCGGCCTGTGCACTGATGGGTTACCCAGTGCAGGGTGTGTGGTGAAGGCAACCAATTGATGTGTCTCTCTCATGTTGATGTTTCTCTCTCCCTCCCTCCCTCTCTCTCCAACCTTTCCACTCTCTCTAAAAACCAATGGAAAAAATATATCCTTGGGTGAGGGTTAACAAAAAAAAAAAGAAAGAAAAAAACACACAGCTCAAATCATTAGACATATTTCTCAGAACCAGGAAGAAGTAATAGAAGAGTAAAAATTGTATCTAAACTCTTTACAATAAAATAGCACAGGATTTGAGAGACAGAAGAGGTGCCAGAACTCTCTTTCCTCTGGAATTTTTAGACATAAAGTCCAGTGAGATTGTGACTGTCTAAAATCTCACGTTAAGAGCTGGTCCTGGGGCCAGACAAACCCAAATGCTCTCCCACCGCCAATATCCAACGATTTGAGCACATGTAAAGAACAGTCTAAAAAGTCTTTATTTT